TATTTTTATAGTACTTCTTAGGACTTTAGATTAAGATTTTATATTTATTACTTATTACCTCTAATAACTGTTGCTATCTTGTTGTTTAACTAACCCTTCGTGAGAACTGTAAGTTTCAAGTAACCAAGACAAATTCCTTGTGTGTGCAAGCTCATTTGGCAATAAAGCGTTTTATAAAACTGATCCATCCAACAGCTGTAAACATATTTAATTAAATTTAAAAATTGCTCACCTCATGTGGCACTAGAGGAAAGGTCAGGTAATTGCAAAATTCAGCATATACAGGTAATGAATGTCTGTACTATATTTTATAGCAGTCTATCAAATTAGAAACATACCAAATCAGGACCAAAGTGGCTAACTGACAGATCACCTGGCAGGGCCAAAAAAGCTCAGGGAACTGCAGAAAAGCAGTAACACTGTGACTTTATCCACCTTCTTTTAGGTTCTGTTGGTGGACGACGATGCCACTGTAAGGAGAGTTGTGGCTGCTGCTGATCAGGTTTTGGAGTGCCTGTCTGAGCTTGCCTCCTCTTCAGACATTAAGTCTCTGCTCAGATCTTTCCAAATGTTTTCTGAAGCTCTGCTTCTCCTCAACAGTCTCACAGCGGAAAGAGCAAATTCCTTACAGGATCCCAGACAAGCAAAACAGCTTCTTGACTTCTTGGAGACCCTGAGGAGGTGCATCTCCATGCTGCACACAGCCATGTGTACAACCATCAAACATCCCACTAGTGAGCAGGCCCAAGCAGCCAAGAGGTACATTCTGGAAAAAGTACAGAGCACCGTGGGAGACATTGTTGCAACTCTCAAGAGTGACTGCCACAGAGGACCACTGGGACCCTGTGGGTATTATACTAGGAGATGTAACAGTCTTTTGCACCTACTTAGTGGCTGTTCCATCTCTTCAATCCAAGACAGTGGATTTGACAGCTTGGTAAGAGACCTTGTGTTCCACTGTATGGTCGTAGCAAACTCTTCTCGAAGAGAGTTTCAGCAAAGAGTAGTGAGTCACTGTCGTCACATCCTGCAGTTCTGGTCTGATATAAAAAGGATTTTAAAGTCTTCAGGGAATGAAAATGAACAAACCTTTGAGAAAACCTGCACTTTGTTGGTCCAGCAAATACAAATGCTTGACAAAGCCTTGAAGACTAATGTTCTTTATCAAGTCTTGGATTCATTTATTGAGGCATCTTCCACAGTCGATGAACTTTTCAGCATGACAAGACAGATTTTGGTTGCAGATACGTCTACAAATGTGGATCTGAACTTTATTCAGCCACGAGTTGAAGATTTCATATCTTCCACTGACAGAATAATCCAACTGGCAAATTTTATCTCAGCTGTAGCCGTTGATGCAAAGAGTCTGGAGAATGTGGAGAACTCACGAGCGTGCCTTACAAGACTCAGAGCTCGAATTGCACCTCTTTCACTGGAGCTGGCAGATAATTCAGTGCAAACTGTTCAAAAGCTTCATGAAGTGTGTCAGAAATGGGAGGAGGAGACCAGTCAGCTACAGGATGCTCTCAGCGATGTGATGGATGTGAGGGAGTTCACTAGCATTGCTATTAACGAGATGATCAACGACCGCCATGGATGCGACGCAGCGTACAGAGAGCAGAGCTATGAACTGTTTAAAGGACATGCAACAAATCTAATTAGTCACATGAAGCTGGTGATTCACTCAGTGAGGAGGCACTTAGACAGAAGTGACAACCCCCTCTACAGGAACGGCCTCCTGGTCCTGCTGAAACAGGTTCAGGCATCTCAAACCAAAGTGACTGATTCAATTAAAGACATGCTTTCTGGTTCAAGTCTGAATGTGGAGGTATATTCTACATTTACAGACAACGTTTCCACAGTCATTCAGCATTTTAAGGTGCTTAGAGAGGGACTGGACGGCCAACAGCATCCACATCTCCTGAGCCCGCTGCGTGAGGGGGCACGCCAGAAAGAAATCTCACAGTCGTGTTTACCAGTCAAAGACACCTGTGAACCTAACCTGGATCACATGTTAAGAGGCTCTGATTCTCCTGTTTTCGATGTTATGGAAAGGGATTATCAAGCTGAGCATGAGGAGGAGCACCCAGATGAGGAAACCATAGAAGCGGAACTGGCTCATAAATACGACAGCGATGATTTAAAGATCCCAGCTGTCTCAGATGAGCCTAAACTGATCCACAAGGCTTTTGAGTTTGACCTTTTACCCCTCTTGTATGAAGTTGTGACTGTGACTAAAGGGAAAGATGTGACAGCGCTCAACCAGACCTGTACTGGTATTCTTGAGTTGTCAAACTGCTACGCCCAAGCTGCAAAGGAAGCCCTGGCTATTGTTGATGCGGTTGACTGTCAGACACTGGAAAGCTTCAGAGCGGAGCTGGTGTCACTGACCCCGCTACTCGTCCAGACAGCTCAAGAGACGGCGATGAGCTCAGCGATGAGCATAGAGAACATCTACAAACACAGCACGCAGTTTTCTGACCTTATTAACAACATCCGCAAGGTTTTACTGCCTGTATCTGGAACCTGGTATCATGCTGTTTACACTGAGCTGCAAGGGAATCTGCAAACTCTGGCAGCCAGCGCTACACAGCAACTCAATGAAGTGATGACTTTATGTGCTGATGTGGTCCAGCTCTTGACATCCTCTGATTTAACCTTACAGAGTGAGGGTCAAGAAACATTCAGCGTTTTACACAGCAAGCTGAACAAAGCCCAGAACAACACAAGGTATCTGGTAGCATTTTCCACCTCAGCGGAAGGACACGTTGATCAGCTCGAGGGGCTTTGTATCCTCTGGGGTCTCTCCGTTCAGATTTTACTGAATTCTTTGGATAAGATTTTAGGAACATCAACCGCAATGAGCCAGCTGAGCCCTCAGAAACAGCTGTCAGTGTTGTCTGAGAACTCGCTTCGAATCCAAGAGGCCACACGGCTCACAAGCCTGAACTGCAAAAGTGCTTACAAGTCAAAACAGTTGACAGGATACCAGGATGAACTGAAAACACTGACAGACATCTACCTTAAAGCTGCAGGGGAACTCTCCATGATGCCAAGTGTGATGCAGCTTGCAAAATCAGAATTCTTTCGGAGACAGCTTTTGATTAAAATTAGAGTGCTGTCTGGTCATTTGAGCAAGGAAAATAAAGATTATGACACTACATTTCAAAACATTGTCAGCATTGCCTATAGTGCTGCTCAACACTTGCGAGCAAACAACGCAGAAGAAAATATGGAGCAAGAATTTGAGAACGCAGCACAAAAACTGGTTGAAAATGTAAAATCTGCCAGTAGAAGGGTCGAGGACTGCTTAAACTACATCCGTGACCCACGCGCTCGTTCCAATCTGAGGTCTATCAACGACCACTTGTCTTTCCAGATCTCAGATATAATCAGCAGGGCCAGGCTGATGGTGGAGACTCACTACATTTGTGACACACTCAGTCTACATGTGCACATACAGTGCTGGTCAGCAAAAGCTCACTATGTGGTGGAGGAGATCAGGAAGCAAGATGGGATTCACCAAGAGGCTAAAGAGCACATCAAGGCTGGTCTTCAGGGCAAAACACCTGAAGATATCGATAAAGTGTTGACTACAATCCCCCCTAAAGTCAAAGAAGTCGATTTACCCTGTGAAACACCAATGTCATCCTGGCAGAAAGGCAATAAAGAAAATGTAGATGCTGCAGAAGGTCATCTAACCATGGGAGCTGTGGTCAAATATGGACTTGGACATATGGAAAAAGATGTAGGTATCTCGCAACTGACAAGATTTTATAGTTCAATGTTTCCTTTGTTGCACAATAAATCATGCCCTCATTTTTCTCTGCAGGATGTTGGTGCGCCGGATGGTTACAAAGAGGCTTCTTCACTGACCTACACGTCCCTTTTTCTAAAGCAAGAAAGCGACAGCTGGGACCCCAAGGACAACAGAATCGTCCAGGTGACCAGGAAGATGGCTGACACAATATGCTACATGACTCAGTACTTGAAGAAGAGAGGCCCAATACCGGTAACGACCAGCAGAGGTCACTTTACTTCCTTGATATTTTCATTCACATTCATCAGCAATCATTCTTTTTTGGCAGAATAAGGAGGCATTCGTCACCGCAGCCAAAGACGTTATCTCCAACTGCCAGTCAGTCACTCAGTTTATCAGAGTTATTGCCAACCACAGCCTTGATAGACAGTGTACGGTTGAACTGTCGCTCATTGTGGAGCAGATTCTCACCATCACCAATCAGCTCAACATCATCTCCAGGTCAGGAGAGTTTAAACTTATATCACACTGACACTAAGACAGAAAAAAAAAACAACTAATGAGTCTTTTTTTTTTTTTTTCCTGTAATGTTTACATAGTGTCAATGCAGTCACACCTGGGTGCAAATCATCTGATGAGATCCTGGTGAAGAATGCCCAAAATCTCCTCCAGACAGTCCTGCGTGGGGTCCGTGCAGCAGAAACAGCCTGCATTACAGTAAATCTAACACAACACAGAAACAAATCTGTTCCAGTTTCCACTTCCAATACAGAAATAAAGGATACAGCTAACAACTAGTCCTACGTTTTAAGTACACTTGCACTTTTATTCCAGGGTCTGAAGCAGCCTGAGCCAAACTCAGATGGTGCAGAGGCCACAGCTTTGTGTTTCCAGTGGAAGAGAAACCTGGAAATCCATCGCGCCCAGCAGACCTCTAACCCAGACACAGATGAGCTGGGTTTGAGGAAGACGTCATCGCACCCATTAGCACCCAGTCTTGCCCCTCAGGTTAATGTACAAGGCACCTACAAGTGAGCACTATCGCCTTCAAAACAAATGTAGTTATGTGTGAAACAAATCTTACACTGACTGTTTTTTACGAAATTAATAAAGACGTGAACCCCACTAAGCTGTCAGCTCCATTAAATTGCCTGACTTAAACACTAATCAGCAGTGTGGATGCCATGCACACTAAAACAAGGCACTGCATGTCTCGTGTGCGATTCTGAAAAGGAAACTGTTGCCGTTTCAACTCTTTATTTTAGATATTTATAATAAAATCACCGAAAATGCTGGGCACATGTGTTGTGTTATCATTACAACCACAACCACTGCAGTGACATGAAAAAAATAATAGCATTGTACAGTAAAACACTCAAAAACACACTGTACACGTGATACAAAATAAGCATTTACAATGTGAATTATGAAAACAAATTTTTAAAAAAACAAAAACGTAAATAGCTTAGTTTCAGTCAAATAAGAGTAGCTCACATTACAGACACAGAACTGTCACTTAAAGCAAACTGCCAAGCATTATGTCACCTTAGGTCTACAACATTCACCCTCTGCAGCACGCAGAACCCCGTATAAGTTCATGAACAGTCAACAAAATTCAACAGTAAAAACAGTCAAAAAGGTCACATATGTATCGCATATACATACACCTGCAACGTCATCAAAATAGTACTTCTTCTTCTCAGTATAATACACTTGAAAATTTTCTTTTGTACTGATTATCTAGTTTTAAAACAAGTGAAAGACAATTTACTTGCTACTTACAAGCTTACGAGTGTTTTGACAATGAAAAAATCTAATTAAACAACTAATATTTATTTGTCTCATTATTTAGACCGGTTTACAACAGTGATGTCCTCAAAGCATTTAGGCCACAAAAAAAAAAAAAAAGTGAAGCGAAGACGGGAACTGTGCTAACTAATGCAACAATTTCTGCAAGCTAGCTTCACTGTAAAGAGTTTAAAAACCGTGAAAGGGAACAGTGATCAATCACTGCTTCAGTATTTTAGCCAAGAAACTGATAAACAATCTGCCATATCTCAATATCATACAGTGTGTATATGTTACATACATTAAAAAGGACCTGCATGGATTGTGTTTTGATTATCTGACCGGATCGTGTCAGCAGTCGACAAATCACAAACTTTAAATCAGGGTGTGTGTGTGTGTGTGGTAAAAAGTGAAAATGTTTAAGAAAATCCCTCATCTTAAAAGGTTAGAGTAAACATATAGATCTCATGATATAAAAAAGTGTCAAGATAAATATGTAAATACAAAAATTCTCAAAACAATTCCTTAACTGATTATTTAGCATTATCCCTCAGTGTTTAGAGTGAATGAATGATGTTTTCTACGGGGTGGAATGCCTGGAATTAGCTCAGAGCTTATGGGTCAGTCCTTAGTGAAACCTTTACGTGTTAACATAATTTCTTTTTTTCTGATTGTTTAGAACGTATGTGAAAATGACACGATAATAAAAGATCATACACACATTCAAAACAATTCAGCATTAATATGATGATGTTAAAAAGAACTATACTCTGTGTCTGTGCACATATCCAGCATTTCTCCACACTGACAAACATGAGGTGTAGTATTTCATCTATACAGGATTATATACAGAAATAAATAGATTCTTGTAAAGCTAAATAAAGATTAATAGACATGTCTCATCAGTATACAAATTTTTTTTTCCCCACAGTGGAGCGTTTACTGACAGAAAGGGGAAGCAGTGGGGTCAAAAGTCTTGAACACATCTTTCAGTGTCCTGTCGTCTGCTTCCTCTTCTGGATCCTCCAGTTTTGGTTCTTTCTCCACAGCCGCCTCCTCCTCCTCCTCCTCCTCTTCCTCCTCCTCCTTCTTCTTGTGCTCTGGCTCCTTCTTTTCCTCTGGCTCTTCCTGTGCTCCCATAGAAGCCTGTCCACCTACTTTAGCCTGCCTGGATTCGGTGTACTGGGGTCGGATGAGCCCGGCCAGTGCCTGGATGGGGAGATTATGAACTGCTGGGGGTTTGACGGGTGAGGCGGGAGGCACTGTGGGAGAAGAGGAGAGCAGAGTCGGATCCGTGGCAACATCTGGGCTTTTAACCTCTTCGAAAGAGCCACTACGTTGGCTTGGTGAGAGTGATGGTGCAGGAGTGCTCTCTTTTTTAGCAGGCTGTTTCAGAATCCCTGCCTTCTTAGGAGGCTCCGACTGCTCCTTCTGAGCCTGCTCGGTCTGAGCACGAGGATCGTACAGGCTGATGCCCCCGAGGATTGTAGTGGGACTCTCCAGCCCTCCACCGGAGGATGCCAGTCGAGGAGCGTACGGTGGCAGCTTCTCGGGCTCTGGCTTGACTCGGGCAGCATGAGGAGAGGCGCTGGCACTGGCCTTCTGCAGTCTGGGGTCCACAAGTCCAACCCCAGAGGAGGGCTCTTTCTGACCCAGCAGCTTGGAGTCCAGACTTCCTGTACGCTTGAGTCTGGGGTCCAGAGATTTCTGCTGCCGTGGATCTACAGGTCTCTCTGTGGGGGATCGGGCCTCTAGAGATCCAGTGGGCAATCGACTCATACGCTCCTTCAAACGTGCAGCTATGAGTCTGGGGTCAGATGGTGGAGGGCTGGAGACTGGGGGAAGGTCTGGCAGGCTTGTTCTGTTCATTTGAGCGTCAGCTATGAGAGGTGGAAGGGGCAGGTTGATGGAGTGTTCCTGTTTGGGCACCAGGGAAGGGATGAGATCCTCGGGTGCCCACACCACTGCGTGTGCAAAGGCAGGCCGCTGGAGCAGAATGTCCACTCGAATGTGACTAAACTGCTTTAACTGGCATCGAGGGTCCCGCAGCACCACACCAGGGCTGGCATCTAGAGGGATCAGAACAGCTCTGTCTCTGAGCTCCCTCTCTCCTTCATCGTCCTCCTCTCCTGTGGGAGGCTTTTGAGGAACAGGATGGCTCTGCTGGCGATAGGAACTGGGCTCCATCGGTCGAATCTTCCTGGGGTCTCTGGAGAGACGTACATCTGCAGCTCCGTCTGACTCCTTCTTCATATCTGGGGGTCGCTGTCTAGGGTCAGTTTTCATGCGTGGGTCACTGGGCAGGGCCCTTTCCTTTCCAAGTCGAGGGTTGCCCAGCCCCGGAGCCACTGAGACACCCTGGAGGGGTTTGGACTGAGACTGCTGCATCTCATTCTGCTTCTTTAGAGTTTTAAGAATGGAGGAAACACAGCTACCATCCTCCTCATCGCTTGAGTACCAGTTTGTAGTTTCATCTGGGGAAAAAAATGAAATCATATTTAAATGCTTGTTCTCTGAGCACTGTTGTAAATTACCTGTGCATCTACACTTTGTCACCCCTGAGGCTTGTTTCAAGAATCAAGTTTACTGAAGGATTTGAGTAAATTTCCTGGGTAATTGTGTCTTTACTTCAGTCCATGCTTTGGAGTTTATCAAGTTTTTATTTAATCCTAATTAATTCAGCAAAGCTGCTTCTTGCCCCTGGACACTTGCCTCTGTTTGTATTGTTGTCATCCTGGCCATCTGCTCTCTGTGGCTCACTCCCTTGTGGATGTGACTCTTGTTGCTGCTGCTGCTGTGTCAGGTGTAAAAGGATGGCTTTCTGTACTGCTGGTGGCAGAGACTGCAACTGTGACTCTGCACCCATCTGCTGCTGGAGGTTCTGTATGAAGGCCACACTAGGATCTACTACATTGAAATAAAACAAAAACAATTTTACAATTTCAGCAACAATTAAAAGTAAATTGAACTCCCAAATAACCATATCACTATATCACTGACCTCCTTGTTGACCAACTGGAGGCGGGTTTCGGAGGAAGTTGCTAAAAAGTTCTGCTGGGTTCTGACTCACTGATGGAAAAGGAAAGAGACTTTGCAGCATCTGTAGATCTGGTACAGGGGGGAACGGCGGCCTCTGCATATTCATCTGGGGATTGATATTAGGCCGGTTTCCATGGAAGGGTGGGGGCTGACCAGGGGGAATTGGTGGCTGCATTGGAAATCCGTGTGGTGGGTGCTGTCCTGGGGGGCTCTGTGGCATAGGTGGTCCAGTGGGGTGACCCATGGGACCCGGTGATCCAGGGGGAGGAATAGGAGGAGCAGAAGACCCTGAAGGCCCCATAGCGCCACTCTGTGTTTCATCTGAACCTCCACTAAACTGGTTGGTGCCATCACCTTGATTTTGGGAGTAATTAGATCCACTGAAAAGAAAAGATGATGTTTAGTTTGAGGAAATAATCCAAGAAATATTTAGAGTTTGATCAAAAATTGTTTTGGTTACCTCAGAGCAATTTTTTGTACCAAGTCTACAGTCGGCTGAACCTTGATTTCAAACAGGGAGGGGATCTTTTTCCCTGCTTGGCTATCTGTAGGACTGCTCTGACCAGGAGTGGGCAGCAAACCCACCCCAGGAGGAGGCTTTGGAAGTGGGGCAATACCCTGCTTTCTCAGATCCTCCAGCTCTAACTCATCCTCGCGGGCGTTCTCCTCTTCAGTGTTAATTATCTAATAAACCACAAAGAAGAAACATGACCACTGCTGACCAAGAATGAATGCTAAGAATGTTTAAAATCAAAATCCCTTTTTATTTTACCTTATCAAGCAACTCTTTAGTCACATCAGTCAGAGCCTCGTGGGAGAATTTACAGTTGTCCCCTTGGTAACATTTGGCTCCTGTGTGAAAGAACTTGCAAGGGTACTCACGTGCAATCACAAGTTAAGGAACAAGACTAATTCAAAAGTGGGTTTTTGTTTAACTATAATGCAGTTACACAAATGTAATTAATATCACTTAGTGAAAGGATATTGTGCATGTAAATGCAATTATCTCCTTTGCTGCAGTATCCTTGAAGGTAAAATTTGCAAAGCTCCTTTTTCTTATCCGGTATAACGAGCTCATGTTCAAACTTGCACTGTTCCCCCTGTATGAAAAAAAATCAGTTTATTTTTTGTGAAGTTGAGAGAGTCATTTTTTTCTTCATCATTTGTCATTTAATAAAAACAGGCTTACATAAAAAAAAACGAGTTCAAGATCATTAACGCTACAATACCTTGATGCATCGACCCTCCAGGAAATACTTGCAGATGTATCTACCGTTGTGTTCAACTGTATGCTGATTAATAAACTCCTTGCTCATAATCGGCCGTTTCTTCTGAAAACCAGAGCAATTTTTTCCCTCCTGTGAAACACAATAAACAACACATAATTTGGCAAGTTACAGCACAATTTAAGAGTAGTCACTATAGTAAAAAACTGGAGTTGGGCATTCCATCCCTGAGTAGGAAGAGGAAGAAAAGGTGTAGTCGATTTACTATAAATGTGATGCAAAATACAATACCAATACAGCACATTCCGCTGTACTTTCAGGAGCATACTAACCGGTCCCATGTCTTCCATGCCCTGGTCTCCTCCTCTCCCTCGTCCACGTCCTCCCCAGGGTTTGCCCTTCAGCTTCTTGTTCTTGTTAAGCATCCCACGTCCTCTTCCTGGCCCACTCCCTCTGCCTCTTCCCCTCTGCCCAACTGAAAACGACATTTCGAAAGAAGTGATCAAACCGTGTTCGTTCCTACAGATGCATTACATACCAATGTGTTATCACTGTTATTACAGGCCTTCCCATCACATTGTAAAATAAATTACTCCAGGGTTCACACGACTACATACACTGTTGATGCTTCATCCCCCTCATGCTCCCTCTGTTCATCTGGTCTTTAGCGTGGCGCCCCTTTCCCTGACTTGAATCTTTTGAATGCTGGTACTCGGACATGTCATCGTCATAGTCATCCTCCTCTTCGTCGTAGTCATACTTGTCATCGCTGTAATCGCTGTATTTGTCGAAATCACTGCTCTTGTGCGGTGAGGACTTCTGTGAGTTGCCATGGCCTGCCTTTGAATGCTGAAAGTCAAACCAGAGAAACAACAATGTCACACAATAATGATTATTTAAATATTAGCCGTTGACTGTATAGAAAACATGATGTCACCCATGGCTCTGTGAAGTCACGTTTTTAAGCCACAAGTTTGGAATTTGACCATCACTATTTTCTCTCTTTTGAAACTAGACATAATGAGAGAGCAGTGGATCTGACTAGAGAATCTGAGGTGATACAGTGGTGACCTGTCAGTCACATGGTAGCTAAAACATACTCTGCTTTATCATCTATTTTGCTTTAAAGAGAAGCATAATTTACTAAATTGTCATCATGCTATCTTCCAAAAGTCTTTAAACTAGTGGCTGAGACAATAAATTAATTAGGAAAATATTTACTGAAGTAACAAATCGAAGGAGAAGTGGGGTCAATTTCTCATAAACTTCAGTACCATCAGACTTCTTTTTGGAACCAGAGGCATCGCCCTCTGCGGCCATTACGAAGAATGCAAGTCAAAGGCATTTCTGTGTTGTCTTTTCTTTTCTAACCCAGAGGCTACATCTATCTTTTATAGAATCTTTAATATTAACATGGCAGCAAGCCAGCTGCGACGAACTCACCTGAGAAGACTGGCCATCGGACTCGCGACTAGATCCGTGGATCCTCCTGTTTTTGGGCCTCTCTGGTCGATCGTAGTCAGAGTCATAACTGTCAGAGCTGGAGCTGCTTGAGGGAGAGTGATGCTGAAAGGAGAGCAAAGGGAACAAAGGAAAAACACGGCATTAAAGTGAATTTTAAATTAGTTTGTGAAGTTCACATTCGTGCTCTAATTGCGAAAGCTGTAAGAGATATGCTGTTATAACAGGTATGATAGTATTACTTACTTTCTGTCTGTCACGTCTCCTTCTTTTTGATCTCCTCTTCTCTCTGGTCTTTTTATATCTTTTCCTTGAGTGTCTGTGACTCTTTTCTTCTTTGTCTTTACTTTTATCTTTTTCTTTCTCCTTGTCTTTCTCTTTTTCTTCAGTCGCCTCTGTAGCCTCTTTGTTTTCCTCTTCAATTCCAATCCCTTCATCATCTATTTCCCCATCTTCCAATTCACCATCCTCTCTGAAAAGAGGAAAACAGTCATTTAACAGGTTTATTTTCTGTATTTTGTCAGCTTCAGATACACTTTAAATGTTTGTTTGTTTTTTTAAATCACAAGCAAAATATCTAATGGGCAAATACTTCTAATTCACGCACAGTAACAATTTAATAGAAAATCTAATCACAGTGAAACTATTAAATTGTCTTTTCCTTGTACTTGGAACAACCAACTATCCGGTCAGACAATTTCCATCACACCCTAATCCTTTAATAGCTTTAATTTCCTATGAACCAGTGTATAGGTATTTTATTACAGATAAAAGAAACTCAACAGCAGGTAAAGTAAAAATAATGAAAACCACTATTTATAGAAGCAATGTAATTCAGTTACTTTGTATGAAGACAGCCTGGAATCACAGATAAGTCAAGTATGATTTAGGCAACACACATGTTCCCCAGTACAAATATTTACAACAAAACACCTCCATTATTGAAAAGTAAAGTATTGGTATGTGAATAGCAAAATGGCACAAGTCTTAGTAGAATTCCAACAAAAAGCTATTTGGCTAAAAGGCCCAAGCATTCCTGCTCTCGAAATATCCACATATGAAAAAAATCTAAGCAACCAGTACTGGACACCACAATTCAGTGAAGTTAATGTTCACAGACACTGTCTATTACAGTTATAATCAGGGAGGTTTCTTTTTTCCTGCAGTGCTCATGACCCCTGTGTGCAGAGGAGCTGCTACTGGAACATATGACCAGGTTAGTACTTCACATTAAGGCGGCTTTTATAACCAGCAGTGTTTCAGACAGGTAGGTACATTTTTAATACTTCAGTTTGGCAGTTAAAAACTAGGTTTTATAACACTTGATCCCAATTCAAAATCATGCTCATATTTAAAACTAAAATAACACACACTGCATTGTTGTAAATGACCAACACAAAGTATTTCATAGAAAAATATGTCATGCAAAGTGTTTTTCCACAGAAAACAGCCCATGTGAAACAACCTCCCACCAACATATGACACCTGTGTAAATAACCATTTCAGCATTGATATTATTTTCATAGCGTGTGATGTCAGCTGCTTTAAAAAATATAGCGCAGGTAGGAACGTGAAACAAAAACACCATGAAATGCTAAAGTATGTCCACCCCACTGATCTGGGTCATTTCTCACAGACACTAGCTGCCTCTTCCTGTCACACCAGTGCAGATCAGGCTTCAACCTGAGATCCATCCACATGCAAGGCTACAACGATACTGGGTGCAAACTTCACTTTTAGTCCAGATAAAGCAGAAGAAATCGAATATTTCAATATGACACACCCGCCAACATCAATAGGATTCATGTCTTTAGGGGAAAATGGCAGAAAAACTACTCTCGTATTTTCAGATTTGTCTGGAATCACAAATCTACCAGAAGACTGAAGGAAGAATATCAGCAAACTGTTGTTTATGAGGACAGTACACAAACATTTCACAGTTTGATATTCTCAGAAAAAAAAACATTTTCCTACCACAAAGTCAAATCAAATCAGTGTAACAACATTGCAATTGTGAGCAACTCAATCACACATTAAGTCCACACTGACATTCATCATTTCAAGACCTCAGCAGTGGTTTAAGTCTGTAAGAGTTTCCAACACTGACACTTTTTCCTCCATCACCTGCTGCAGGTTTTAACAGAAAACCAGAGCAAACTCCTCGTCCTCTGCGTGCACACATGGTCTGACAGCCATGTTCGGATTATACAGAAATCACAAGCATGGCCTTCACCCAGCAGAAAGCACATAATCTCAACCCTGCATGAACCCTGTCTCAGCAGTACTGCCAGGTGCCCTGCAGGGGGAGGACAGTACGAGGATGGGCGTGGCATTTACATCATATAGTCATTTGCATAGTCTCCTGCAGATGGCAATAATGAAGCTATGAATCCCAGTAGCACAACAACAGAACGATGAGGTCTGCCACCTTGCATGGAAATGATCATGAATGCTCGACACGGTGATGTGATACCAAGGCTGTCTGAACAGCGTTATTCAACTGCACCAAAGAGGCATGCAAAAAGAAGGAAAAAAAAGAGAGATGTTTAGGGGGGAAATGTCTCTATACCCTGCAATTCATGGTTAAAAGAGAAAACAGTAACACACGAAGCATGTAGACCCACAGCACTGAAACGCACAGATGAGCGTATTAAGAATTGCATAAGAATGTTACTCGACCTTTCATCCCCTGCAAGCTCAGAGTCTGTCATGTTTTTGTCAAGAACAGGGGCTGGGGGACTGGAAACCAGGCTCACAGAAGCCATTGGAAAACGGATCTGCCTCCCTTCTCCCCGGTACCAGAGTGAGTTAACACAGTCACTCAAAGGAGACGTTGGTTTGTGAGAGATGCTGGAAGATTTCAGACTGGAAAAAACTCACGGTGTTACATGTCTCGACTGAGACAGTAAACAGACACTCTCCTCTTTCATATCAATGACGTTTTAACTCTGTGAGCACAGCTCGATACCCCGCTTTGCTAATGTCCCGTCGGTTGACAGCTGCCATGGTGAAATAGAGGAGACGGAGGGAGAAACAGACAGAAATGTAACCATGTTCGTTGATTTCAGCATCTTCATAGGTTTTCTCAACAGGGGCATCATCTCAAAATGGCTTCTGAGTTCTGCAGCACATTCCTCGGTAATGTATTCTCCACGTATTTATAGTGCCGTCGGGATCAATCTAACTTGGAGACAGCAAACCCTGTTCTGTGATTCGTCGGACGTCACACGGGTGAGACGAGCTGCGATTCTCATTGGTTCAGAGCGGTGTCAGTCATTTTCTGCGACAGTGAAGTGCATATGGGTCATTCCATATAAAATCCACCAAATCGGAGTAACGTTCCCACCTGACCCTCTCTGAATCAAATGATTTGTTTTGTACAATAACTTTAGTATATTTAATGAAGTCACGCATTTTTTTAGCCTTCATATTATGAGAATTTTCAGCGCTACAGACTCTTATTTGCTTTACTTTTTCCAGCATTTTGATCCCTCATAACTTCAAAAGTACAGGGGATAGACACATCCAATGTTCAGGAATGAGAAATAAATATGAGCGTTGTTTAAAAAAACAACAACAACAACAACAAAACAATAAAATCTATTTTGTGTCTACTTAAGATGTCACAATCTGAATTCTCATTTTTGTTCAGCATGGTTTTTTTTTTGTATAACCAACTTTGCGCATCAACACAATTGAATGTGTTATAGTTTCAATGACAAAACTGCACCAGATTTGTGTCTGTGACATAGAGTCATAGAAATTCCCAAGATTCACAAGAAAAACTTTAAAAGCAGCATTTTGGGTGAACATACAAGGGTCATATCACCATATAGGAAATATGGTTGGTGAGACAGATGAAAGGTCTCACTTTTGCACACATTTTAATATTAATATCAGAGTCATCTCCTACCTATGACTCCTTTTGTGTCAAAATATGATTCTAAAATGGATATATTTTGACACTGCGCCATCATTTTCTTGACCACACAGAAAAAGCAAGTGTTGGATATAAAGATTACACATCATTAACTTTGGTTATGCTCTAACGATGGAAACAGGCTGATTGAACAAACTGACAGAACAAGTAGAAACACTCAAACAAGCACTGAATGCACTGCATTTGTTTGATCAATGTAATTTGTCCAAATATATGAAACATGTGAACACCAACAGTTTCTCCAGCAATAAGCTGCATGTGAGTGTTAAAATATGACGATACAAGTAAATTATTTTGACATAGAAGGAATGATGGCCAGAAGACAAGCCTGGTATTTAAAAGAAAAAAAGAGAAAGAAAAAAAGAGAGGCCTTTCAATTTGATATAACTTGTTTTGACTTGACTTGACATGGTATTGTGAACCTTGAAAGTTTGCTCAAAATTCATTTCTCCTGTAATTTATTAGAAAACATTCAAGTATGCTTGATTCTATTATAGTCGGCCCTAGACTTTAAACTGATGAAGTCTGAAGCTTCCCCATGGTATTGATGCTCAAAGTTGACAAAAAAAAAAAAATAAATAAAATAATAATAATAAAATCTTACTTAACAAAGACAGGATTTTGACTTTAGATTATGACACCTTGTGTTGATGAAAAATTATTTGGTTGCAATTTTTCACAGAATTTTATGTTATTTTTTCATCCATAAAATTTAATGTGGCAAACTCATGTACTTATGAAGTTATGAAGGCTCAAAAAACAATAACTCGAATTAAAAAGTTCGGCCCACCTCTGTGTACTTCAAGGACCTGTCACGTCTGAAAATATTAATAGCATGAAAGTAAGGGTCAGAGGTTAGGGACTGAATGAGTTTTCTGAAGCTAGATACTTGTCTTTATCACTTTATTAATTTTACTATTTATTAGGTTTTTTGTTTGTTTGTTTGGTTGGTTTTGTTGTTGACTTTTTCTTTAGGAAGGCTCGCGTGCGCACGCAATTGTCTCACGAGAATGATTTGCTCAACTTTCGGCGCTCGTGCAGTCCTGTGTCACGACCAGCAGGTGTCGCTGCGACTCTACAAATCAAACTGACAGACAGAAAGCTGGGCACAGGCACAACGCCGTGGGTGAGAATAAAACCACTAGACTCAAAGTTACCCACAAAACAGCTTAATGTAACATTTATGTGCCTGTGACTTGATGTTAGACGTTATTCTGGTGACGCGGCCTCTCACAGAAGACTTACGACGTGTCTCGTAATGAATAGTCTGATAATAGTGATTTACTCAGTTTAGAAGAAAAAAATATATATTTTAAAGCTTACAGCGCTCTAAAACTTATGTAGGTTGCTAGACATGTAGCTATAACTTCGTACAATGTGTCTGTGTCCCTGTCAGAGATGTGGAGAGAGAAGTGTTTGGGAGTATCACGGTGGGAGGGATTCTTGCTGCAGGAAACCTGGTAGCGTGCAGAGCTCAGAGGCTAAACTTTCCAAGAGTGCAGATAAACAGAGACGGAGCGCATCTGTCTTAGGCACCTGATGAGCATCTTCCACACTCCTGAAACGAGTGGACGGACGTTCAAAGTTGTTTGATTGGGGATTTTACAAAAAAACAAACAAAAAACGAAGCCTGTTAAATATTTTGGACCATCAACAGGGAGCATTACTTTATAATTCCTGGACTTTTCGGAGATGGCACTCTCTTTTCCATGCAGGTGTTTGCTGTTGCTGTGTTTCACTGCCATCCACAGTGGTCATGCCACCGTTCAGGTAGGAGTAATTGACTTTACTTGTGTAGGAATGAGCAGTCTGAGCAACTGTATAAATTCTCAAACTTTGACCAAAATATATTTTTGGGAAGAAAATTGATGCATCTGGTTATTTACAATGTTAATATTATTATCCATGGTGTAGCCCAACCAGCAACAATTGTTTGTTTTGTTTGCTTTAATGTTTTATCCAGCTTTCATTCATCAATACTTGTGATTGTTTGTAAGCCCTCTGTGTCATTTTGCCATTTTTGTGATTACAGTCTGCATTTTACACTGGAGAAATTACTTTTAAAATTTTAACCTTTTTAAAAAAATAAATAAATAAATAAAAATACATATATATATGTGGTTGCATCTGGATGTGAATCCTCTCATGTCTTGTCAGCTGGTGGCATTTCCCTTTTGCCTGAGGCAGGTAAAAACGAGCAGAAGACAGTCTTACTACTGCACAGGTCCCAACTATGTGCACAATGAATTTTAATGTATTGAAGCTAGTTATTATTGTACAAAGCCCCTCAAATGCCAGTGCAGGAATTTGAGGTATGCTGCTCAGAGAAATTGTTCCAATGAGCATGTGATTAATAAACCCTCCTGAAAGGATTAGAGGCACTTTCTGTGAGGAACTTTGTAATGGTTTGACAAGCGTTCTCCCCAAAGTAACTGCCTGTGGCACCCATGCTATTGTGAGTGTGCCCATTCAGGATTATCCAATGAGCGTGTGCCTTCCTACCGCCATGCAAAATATACACAGGAACAGCATTTTGGACTTAGGTCCTTCTGACATCTGCCAGACAGCTTTTGTCCAGCTGTGTCTGCCACTGGAGTTGTGTTAGTAAGAGTGAAAAGAGGTGATGCAGAGAAGAAGAGAGATGGTAGGCCCAGAATATCTCACATGTGAGTGCACTGAGGTCTAGTGGAAAAAGAGGAAAGCAGTAGTTTTAAATAAACTAATTGCAGAGTTTCCCTAAAATCAGAAACAGTAAAAACATCTCACTAATATGTCTTGTCAGTGTTACATAATAGATTTTATTATCAATGAAAACTGAGCGACTATAACGACTATGTGCCCACCAATAACATGGATCTAGTTTCAGTTACATCATTCTCCACAGCTGCCCAATAATGTCTATTCACCGCTCATGTTTTACATTTTATGACCATTTAAGTGAGGTAACCTTTAATCCAGCGCTCATTCCCTTGGTGGAAAGTCATTACGTTCTAACATGTTTTGCCAAGACTCTTTTATAACTCTTAATTCTGCTCATAGTCCTCGTGCTTTATTAACAGACGTGCATGGATAAACATCAGGTGGTCGGGGTGCTTCGTCAAATGGAGAAGTTTCTCAAAGGTCAGGAGATGCGATTTACGGAGGGCCTCAGGATCATGAAGTCGAAGCTGGCAACGCTACAGAACTCTGTCTCCAAGTTACCTCAAGCAGACCAGTCAGCTGGTGAGTAGTAAACAGATAGCAAACTCACGCCACCTCCACATTGATCATATTCATCATCATGACTGTCATATTAATGGGCCATTTTTGTTGCGGACATTTTAACTTATCGTAGCAGGAAAAACACAGGTGTTACTAATAACTTTAACATAGAGTCCGTTTGATTCAAGCAACTCAGTCAGCCATAACGGTGTGACAGTGAGCCAGCACACCAGGACCCTGAAGCTGCAGCAGCAAAATGGATTTCACCTAATATTAATTTTGTTATGCACACTTATGATGTGAAAGTGTCTCCTCATAAAGTAGCTCATACGTACAGCAGATGATGATTCCTAAATCCAACCTGTAACCATACACTGTGACATAAATAGTTCATTTACTGTTGTTATGTAGCATGTAAAAATGGCTAGAATATTCATTTAAATAACTTAAGGAAATAGATTTTTATTATTCATAGTTTCGTGCACATCTATGAGGTCTATGTTGTAACATCAACATGCCCAATAACATCCTGCCAAGACTACAGAACAGATGTTGAGATTTGCTCCACTTATCATGTAAACACAGAGTATTTGGTTGGCTACAATTAAAAGGGCATCATTTAATCTGTTATACATTTGATTACTTTGCACGTTTATTTCACAGAATGAACCTAGTGTATTCATTTAACTTAATTTGCAATCCATGCTTTGCAAAGTTTCATCTGGATTCATGATGTGACTGAGGTTTTGTTCTGTAGTTCAGTGAAGGACTATTCAGTTAAAGGCAAAAGAGGGTTCCAAAGCATCAAGTCTGTAACATTTTAGAAACATTCACTTGTTTTGAAGCTGATCTTCAAAAACTTTTCCCTCAACGAGTGACAACAGAGAGCCAGGCATGGCTTCTTGTATTATGGGATTATATATATTCATCCAGAAGTTCAAGGCCATCTCGGTTACAGAACTGTGTACTCGACAGGGGAAGTGGATTTGTGGAATTGTG